GAGACTTTGCACACTCGTTTCAGGCAGCTTACACTCACAGTAGCTTGTCATTTGCCATCTGGCCATGTGGTTACTTTTAAATAAAGCTATGTATGGGATGAAATAACACAAATTGGAAATCTGTGATAATATGTATGGTGATAGGATAATATGTGTGTTTTGGTTTTTTTTGTTTGCTTTGCTTTTGTTGTTGTTTAAAAAGTAAGATTGGGGGGAAAATGATTTGAGGAGGAATCATTCCAAAGTTTTCCCTAGAGGGAGCCCCTTATATAAATTTTATTCTTTGACTAAGAGCTTTTGTTATAAACTAAATGTTTTGAATTAGTGGGTTATTACATTTTTCCATTCAGTTGTAAGCCTGGCCCAAAGCTATGAAATAAGAGGTTGTCTAACGTGCCTCAAAAACTGTTTTGCCATGAAGTGGAATTGGGGAGAGATGTGAGGAACATTCTTTTCCTTTGTCCCTTTTCATAATATTTTCTTATTTGTGTTCTTTTCCTTTTTGTTCCTGTCCCTTTACCCCAGAGTGTATTTTTTACAGTGTCTGCTTGTACCACGTTTCGGATTCTTCTCTGTTTGTGTTTCCCCAGTTCTCTGTGGCTAATTGCAAATGGACAAAAGAACCAGAACTCAGTACAGTACATTCAAGTTAAAGAGAAACTCAAATAATGATTGTTAGAAATTATTCCTCTTCTCTCCCGTGGGTGGTGTTTGATGTGGAATTTTAAAAACCTGGCTTAGATGATAATTAAATTTAAAATACAGATTTAAATGATTAGGGTACTATATCATCTAATTTCTCCTTTGGAGTGGGAGAAGTTGAGGGGTTTTTTTGTGGGGTGAGGTGGGAGAGTTGCGGCAGCTAGATGCAAACAAGATCACCCTTTGGAACAATGACAACGCTATGCTCACACTGGCAAGAAAAAAAAAAGAAACTGGGTGAGAAGACAGGGCGTACTAAATTGCAGGAAAATGCAACCAAGTCCTCATTTACAGCTCCATGGAGATTCTATTGTAAAGTTTTACTGCTTCTTTGCAAACATTCCTTTGGTGTGGGAGGCTGAGCCTGGGGGCATGGTTGGGGAAACAATAGTCTGGCTCTTCCCCCCCCCCCCCCCCACCAAATCAGTTCAAATGCCTGACTTAACTAGGGAGTCAAAGAATCAACAGACTGGCTCTAAGACTTGGCGGCTCCAGTAAAAAGATCTGGATGTTCACAGTGGCCCAGTGAAAATGGGGAACACATTTACTTCACCTCAACTTCCTTAAGGAAAATCTGCACTGTTTTTGTGGAATCCAGAGAGGAGAAACTTCTGATCTATTGGAGAGAAAACTGAATAATTGAGCACCAAGACAGAAAGACCGATGTGGCTGTCATGCAAATAAGAACTGTGATTGGCTTTCTCTTTCTGTACACGTTGTCACTGGCCGCTCTCAGCCTTAAAGATTAGGTTTCAGTGGGAGCGTTTCAGGTTCAAGGACTGTTAATGGTTTGTAACTGCCTGACAATAAGCTCAACCTCAAAGTTACATCACCCCGGGCAGATGTCTAAGGATTCAAGGCCAGAGGAAGAAAGTTCCGAATCTGGAGCAGAAGGATGCCGCTTGCCACCTGCTTGCTGCACTGAGCTTTCAATGTGATTCAAATTTCTAAGCCCTATGTAGACATCCTGGAAATGGTGGTCTTTATTAATACAAAGATCAAGTCTTTAATTAAACTTTTTAGGAAGAAAAGTAAGTAGTTTCTTTTCTCCCCCACTACATGAGAGTGTGTGTGTATGTGTGTGTGTTTTATGTACTACTTCATCCTTTCGAGTGACGGAATTAAGAGTGTGAAACAGCATAATTGGCATGAGTTAAACTCCATTCTATACCAAGTTGTTCAAACACCTCAGACTTTTGTAACTCTAGGGCAGAATTCTGTGATTTTTTTTTTTAGCATGTCTTATTTATTTATAGTTGGGATTTTAGGTGAATTCATTTCTGCTGCTCAAAAGAAGTCCTTTGAAGAAGGGGAGGGAAAAAAACCCTTGTATTTACTTTATGTCTGCCTTGATGTACAGTGTATGGTTTTTTGATTCCTTGGCTAAATATATGAGGAGCCTCTGTGTAATGTATCACATATTTTTGGTGGGGATGATCCTCTAAAACTGCCTGGCACTCTGTTAGGTATTTAAGAGCTCAAGGACAGGCTCTGTCTAGACTGATCAGTCATTGTAAAGTACACAGCTTTTGTGATGTGGCTTCATTGTATTCTTACCACTGGTTTAAATTTCTTTAATCCAGGCGCTTCTTCATTCTTTGGAAAGTATACTTTTTATAAATACATGGTTCTGTTTTTTACATAGTTGTTGGTTTATTTTATTTTACTTTAGTTTTTGGACCAATGGACTTAAACTGGATAAATGTGCCATGGGCAGGAGCCACTGGTAAGAGAAACTTTGGAGAAAGCAGAAGAACAGCCCTTGGGGCTCATTTCTACAGCGTCCCTGGTTGAAGGCTGTCTTTGGATGGGCTGATTAAAGTCTGCCCTGGCAAGAGTGAGATACACCAGGGGAGAGACAACTGTTCTTTCTTAGGAGCCAGTTTGGTAGCTGTGTGGTGGGGCTGATGGTGTGATTACACAGACACTATTACTTGGATTTGATTTGTAATTGGCGAATAGGAAGAGTTTCAATTTTCAGTATTTTCCAACTATGAAGTATGGTAATTCAGTCTTTCAAATAAATAGACATTAGCACAAAACATTGTAGTTAACTGTGGCTACTCTTTGGGGGACATATGGTGAGTCCCACCCTGTGCAGGATTCTCAGATACATAACTAAGAGCTAAATCGGGTCTCTGTGGATTTCATAGATTAAGTTTGATAGTTCTATGCACCATGCAAAACATTTGTTCCACGGAGGTTATGTGAAATGCCAGGTGCCTAGTTTACATGCTGCTTTTAGCAAACATTAAAAGCAGAAAGCACACAGGACATTTCGGTTTTTATTTAACTTGATGTCTAGTTCTCAATGTTTATTTTCCCATTTAGCAATTTATGGAGAAAGTGGGATGGTTTTAAAAAATTTTGTCCAGTTTTATTGAGATATAATTGACATATAGCACTGTGTACATTTAAGGTGTATAGCATGATTTGACTTGCATACATCATGAAATGATTTTCACAATATGTTTAGTGAACATTCATCATCTCATATAGATACAAAAGAAAAAGAAAAAATTTTTTCTTTGTGATGAGAATTCTGAGGATATACTCTCTTAACTTTTATATAGAACACAGCAGTGTTACTTGTGTTCATCATGTTGCATATCACGTCCCTAGTACTAATTTATCTTACAACTGGAGAAGGTGGGATGATTTAGGAAACGAATTATTTAAAGCCTGCCTTGTAGAATTCAGAAGCTGTAGAGAAGATGGTATATGGGGTGAGCGCTGACCATGGTATATGTGGTGGCTTGTGTTCCCAGGGGCACTGAGAAAGGCCAAGTTCCTCTTCAGCGATGGTTGAAAAGTCAGGAGCTACCTTCAAGTAATTGCACTGCTCTCGCCACAACCGTTCTTTACATGAGTTATTGCATAAGCTAAGACTTTACATATATTAGTTCCTTTGATCTGTTTAATGGCTGTAATAGCTGTACTGCAAGGTACGTTGAGTTAACTTTAAACATGTTCAAATAGAAAGGTTCAATAGTTCATGCACACCTGTTGATTTTTATTTCACGAGTCTACTTTATGGTCTCATTTCCAGGGACATGTTACGTTGCAGAAACAAGTATGCCCAGAGTGCCCTGTGTGGCATAGGTCAGAGGTAGGGGAAGACTCGCCCCTGACTCACAATTGTCGTATCTGCTGGTTTTACAGGAGTTAGACTTGTCACCCTCAGTAACTGCCTCAGCACAGGGTTCTTCTCAAACTTCTTTAGTCTCTTCTACACCTGGCTTATGGCAGCAGTTATACAGAGAGTATTTAAAAAATTGTTGTTGAATATTTATGGTGCTGTCAGTTTCGTGTTGGTACCCCACTTAGATTGTGTTGTCAGGAAAAAATGAAATGCGTAGACAAAGCGATCCCAATCCCTAGAAGGATAAAGGAAAATTGTCATAGAGATTTAGCCTACCTATCATTTCCCCCTCTGATGTCCTCAATCTCTTTTGTGTTGGAAAAATTCAATTGAATTGGATTATATTGGGAAAAGTCAATTGCATTGGAATTTCTAAAAACATTGGAATATAAAAGTATTCCATGAAAGCGAGAAATACAGAGAAAATTTTGTAGCACAAATGGATTTCTAATTAGATATGCTATTTAAATGTATTACCTTGAATGTTTATGATTAGTTTTGTAAAAATTCAATTGAGTTTATAACAGTGATGTTTTAAAAATAATGCCTTAGAGGGGAAAGAATTGGTCCCAACTTCTTAGTAGAAAATTTGTTTTCTGTCTTGACAATCTAACATTTACTAAAGCAATGACATAGTACAATTGACTAGTATTTGTCATGGCGGAGTTCAGCAGGAGTTGGAGGTCTTCATTGATTTTGTTAATCGTATTCTAACATCTGGAGTAGAGGGAGGGCCTAAAAAGCTGGGAAGCAGTTAACTGAACAAACACGAAACACAGTGGGAAGGACCCCTGGGATCTGAGATTGAATCTTTTTTTTTTTTTTTTGCGGTACGGGGGCCTCTCACTGTTGTGGCCTCTCCCGTTGCGGAGCACAGGCACCGGACGAACAGGCTCAGCAGCCATGGGTCACGGGCCCAGCCGCTCCGTGGCATGTGGGATCTTCCCGGACCGGGACACAAACCCGCGTCCCCTGCATCGGCAGGCGGACTCTCAACCACTGCGCCACCAGGGAAGCCCCCTGAGATTGAATCCTATTCAAAATTTGTTCTATTTCTCCCTTGCTGGCCCTTACCTATGGATGTGTTAGGTACCAAGAACTCACCTTGATGTAACACATTTAATTTGACCTCTGAATGTGTTCTTTCTTTCTACAGCTGTTTCCAACCTAGATGAGGAGAGTCGATGGACAGTCCACTACACTGCTCCATGGCACCAGCAGGAGAATGTGTTCCTTCCCACCACAAGACCCCCCTGCGTAGAGGACCTGCACCGCCAAGCCAAGCTCAACCTCAAATCAGTATTGAGGGGTAAGATGGTGCCCTGCAAGCTTGCTGTTCTTGGATTATTGACTGTTAGAATTGAAAGCATAGATTTGGTTGCTATTTATAATGAACGGATAGTATGCTGTGTCTTTATAAAATATCATAAATACTCACAACCTAATACATGCCTAATATGATCTGGTCTCTGAAAGCTGCCGGTTTACAGATATGCAAATCTGTCCTTAAAGAGCCTGCTCCATGTTAGAACCCTCGAGCATGTTTAAACCACTGGTACCAATTTAATCCAAATAAACACCTGCTGATGTGGGAAATTTTGCCACTGCCTTTTTAAGACTAATGTAAGTATTCAAAGCAAATTGTTAAAGCTAGTACTTTGTAATGGTTTGTTCAGTTAGTTCAAGTTGGGTGGAAAGGGGACCTAAATATAGACTGTGAAGGAGTGCAGAGTGGTTTGATTTATCAGAACTTGGGCAGCACCCAACGGGGCTCCTTTAAGCCCAGGTGGGCAGAGTGCACTGTGGCCAGTAGGAAATCCAGGAAGAGTGTACACCTGTGTCTAGTTTAAAATTCTCATTTTTACCTCAGCTTGTTGCTGATGTTAAGGAGAGTTTATGCATGGTACAAAGAAGGCATCCTAAAAGTGATAAAGGAGGGAGGACGTTCTTTAAAAGAGGAAGAAGTGACTTTTAAGATTCAGAGACTTGCTCTTAAAGCAACAAACCAACATTCTTATCCTACCAGACTCTGCTTCTACCAGTTTTCTCCTCTGTGCTGTTTGGGATCTAACTATACCAAAAAAGTACTTGTTGCCTATCTGAAATTTAATCAGGCATCCTATATTTTAATTAATTGTTTAAGACTTACATCTAAGAAATACTGTTATTGATTCAAGAAAAACCCAGCATGAGGACCCCTCTAATTTTTATGATAGTTTTTACTTGTGTATCAGTCATTTATTAAGTAATTCATATATTAATGTACTGTTGCTATAACTGCTGTGGTTACTAGCTAACATTTATTAAACACTCAACTCTATACCAAGTATTGCTCTAAACCATTGCACATATTATCTCTTAATCCTCACAATAATCTACAGACCATCACTGTGCCAGTTTTGCAGATGACAACATAGAGACACAAAGATTAGAAACTTGCCTAAGATCTCAAAGTTAGTGGCAAAACCAAGATTTAACCTTGGACAGTCTCAGGCTGTAGAGCCCATATTCTTAACTGCTGCCTTTAACAACCTTTTGTTTGAAACCTATTATTCTGGCAGAAATGCAGAATACACAGACAGGGTCTCAGCTCTCGTGGAATTTATACTTATACCTAGAGTGCAAATCACAGTGTGAAAAATACTCGAGAGGTGCCAAAAATTGCTGTATTGTAATTAAAGAAAGCAGATAATCTCTGCTTAGAGAAGGAATAGCTGTCCGTAGACTCACAATAGATTTGGTATTCCGAGCAGAACTGTACAAACTTCGATCATGGCCCTGTTTTTTCTTCCTGTAATCTTTTATAATGCTTCAGTTATCTCATATGTATCTTGCAGTCTTATGTATCTTGTATCTTACAGTCTTGGCATTGGACTATCCAGCAATGAGGACATTATTGAGCTCCCTTTTTCATTTAGACTGAATACCCTGTATATTTAGTGACTAAACGCTTAAATGAGAAGAATCACGTTAGTTGGGCTCCTCCGTATGGCCTTGGAGTTGTACTTTGACCTTTGTTGACTTCATGAGGTGCCTAAATCCAGCCACAATTTCTTCTAGATCCCTTCAGTTCCTAGTGATTTGTCTTTAGTAAATTTTGACAAAGAGCTTCTCTACGTAGAGCTCACCTTCCTCCACCAAAGAATTACTAAGAAGATTAAATGGCACGGTTCCCAGGACAAACCCCTGAGGGAGTGCCATTGTTAACATTTCTCTTGTTGCTCTGAAGACGGAACACTGCATGGTCTGGCTTGTAGAGAATGCTTTCTCAAAGGTATATGTGAGTTTGAATATTCAGGCCCAGTGGTTTTTTGATAACTCTCCAGGAAATTGTGCTTCACTACCTCTTTCATGTATTTTTCAAGTACCAGATCAGAGCTTCTCTTTTCTGCCCTTAGAACACTGAGCATCTGTATATAGATTTTTCTGATTTTATTTTATTTTGGACTGTTCAACAGATACCTATGAAATATCATCACCACTGGTTTTGCCTACACTTAGATTTTATTTTGAAAAGGTAAATGCTTCAGTGATTGCTTAAATGCCCTAAAATCGTTCATCGAAGGGATTTACTATTAATAAAATTAATAAGTTTGGGAAATTCTTACAGCTCAACTTTTAAATCTGGATTTAAATGCACCTTAAGAGATTTCAGATAACTGATAACTTGAAGAATAGTGGTTGAGAAAGATGAAACGAGAAAGAACATCTGAGTTCTTTTGTTCTTCATTTATTTACTTTTAGTCACATGCACAGAACTTCACTTACCACTTCCCCTACATCATGTTAGCAACTCGAAATAAACACATGAGTGCAGAGTATTTATTGCCTCGTTATCAGTGAAGATTAAAAAGAAAAAATCCAGTCCCTTACTATATGGCAGCTGTTAAAGTATGATGTTATATAAGATTATCAGTCTAAGTTAATATGACCTCAACAGCCTTTGCTTAAAAATACAGAAAGGTAGGTCACTATTCACAACGAGCATTCTAATATTTTGTTCCTCCTTTTAGTCTTACTATGACTTTGTCCATTGTTTTAAGGAAGAAATACTATCGTTTAATGTTAAACAGGTCGGTGCTTTTTCTTAATCATTAAATGCTCATTGTCGGAGCTGTTCTGTCAGTTTTTGTGGGGCGCTCAGCTCCCCTCTTGAGGACCATAAAATACAGAGGGAAATGATACAGTGAATACTAACAAGTGGACAACTAAGTGTTGTAAACATTTGCTTATGTTAAAGTAATGCACAGATGCTTACTGGTCAGTAGAGTGGTTGAGGAAGGCACTTTTTTTACGAAAAAGCTAAGCTTGAGTTAGTACATAAAGGTAGATAATAGACACTACTTAATACGTATTTGAGAATCAATTCTGTGCTATGCCAGGAGTTTTTAAATGAAGAGACAAAAGGTCGTGGGTCCCCAGCTTTAAAGAGCTGAGCTTGCTGTCTGGTGTCAAGACTGAAGTAAACAGACAGTAGTGTAATGGAGACGGGCGTGAGGTACGCTGGGCATATAGGGGAGAGCTCGGTCAGCCAGAACAGCACTGGGAGACCACCACTCTCCCATTCCCCCACTGCGGAGGAGATGGGCTTTCCTGGTGCGTCACACAGCATGTGGAGTGCCTGCAGCAGGTGGTTTCCATTCCGGTCCAAATAAAGCAGAGATCTTCTATATTTGTTGTTGGGGGCTAGTCTCTGGAGAACTTGATAGAATTTAGTGACCATGCTCTTGGATCAAATGATTTGGTTTTGTTGATTTATTTAGTTACTAGAGATTTAGGTAATGACTTATTGCTAACAACAGTACAAACGTGTACCCATTTGTTTTTGTTTTTTTATTTTTGGCTGTGTTGGGTCTTCGCTGCTGCGCACGGGCTTTCTCTAGTTGTGGCGAGCGGGGGCTACTCTTCGTTGCAGTGTGCCGGCTTCTCATCGCAGTGGCTTCTCTTGTTGCAGAGCACGGGCTCTAGGTGCATGGGCTTCAGTAGTTGTGGCTCGCAGGCTCTAGAGCGCAGGTTCAGTAGTTGTGGCGCACAGGCTTAATTGCTCTGCGGCATGTGGGATCTTCCCGGACCAGGGATTGAACCCGTGTCCCCTGCAATGGCAGGCAGATTCCCACCACTGCACCACCAGGGAAGTCCGTACCCATATTTTAAGAGTATTTTGATATTTGGGTTAACAGGACATCTGGCTAGTAATGAATAGTGAATTTTACTGAATTTCCAGAATTCTTCCCTTTTAATTTCCATAGTTATTTGAACCCTTCATGAACTTCATCAGAGTTAGTTGTGATGATCAGTAACCTTTATCTATCTAAATTTTTATCTAGGTAGTTTTTATATATATTGAAGGGGCCACAATTCAGTGGAAAAAGGGGACTTGAGGGATGAGGTGGGCTCGCTCAGACTCAATGAAAGTTTCAGATTTTATTTCTTCACAACCTGTAGGCCTCATTTGACAGTTTTAAGATTATTAAAGGCTGAAACAAACATGTTATTTTTCAGCCTTCATTCCCCCAAAAGGCCAACTTGAGAGAGAGATAAACATACTTTCTCATAGTATGTTTAACAGGCAGTTTGGTTACTGCATCTGTGTTAACTCCTGCCTGAATTAGTTCACAGAGCATCCGTTGTTGGTATCAGAAACCATCTAGTCACAGCTCTCATTCCTGAAGAAACATATTTTAGCAGGCCAGCCTACTCTGTGGCTCTAGAATTAGGAGTGCAAGCACAGGGTGGAATGTTGGATCTGGCCTGTGTTAATTCAGAGTCAGAAGGTTATGTTTATTGTACCTGGAGAGATAAGAATTGGGGATTTACACTTTGAAGAAATGACTATTTGTACCAAGTGATTTAAAACAATAGTGTGTGTGTGTGTGTGTACAGACCAACCTGTTGAACATTAAAGAGTGGTATACCTTTCTTAAAATTATGGACAAGGTCTCCAAGTAGTCCCAGCCAGGTTTCTCTGACAGTTCGTGACACACAGACTTTATCTAAGGGTCACTGCATCTACCTTTCATTGTCAAGAAACCACCTACTAGTTGCATTTTGACTTGGACAAGTAAGTCTGTTCTGGGAAGGGCTGTGGGGATCTCTGGATTTGATGAGGGGGCTTAGTGGTCTCATTTGTCTGCATTGGGCTGATGGGCCCCTGGGATATCCCAGGTGCCCTGTGGTTTTGGTTATAGAGTCTCCTCTTGGGGGTCCTGTGGCATTTTTTACAGAGCTTTCTGGAAGACACCTTTCTAGGCATGACCTGGGGGATGTTGGCTGAGAGCTCTCTCTCTTGCAATGATACATCTGCTCACC